CCTGCTGAAATGAATGGTATGTATTTTGAATGTAAAAAAGTGTCAGCATACCAGTTAGGATTCTCCTTCTATTTGTATGCTTACATGAGAAGGTGTAGGTGATTTGGTTAAAGGGATCTTTCACCGAAAAACGAAAATTCAGTAATTTCCTCATCCTCAACCTTTTATAAATGTCTTTGTTCTGCTGAACACTAAATATATTTTGAAGAACCAAGCAGGTTTGGGCACAATTGACTTCCATAGTAGGAAAAATACTATGCAAGTAAAAGTTGCCCGAAAACTGCTTGGTTACAAACATTCTTCAAAATATTATATATTTTGTTCAGTAGAAAAACCAGATACATACAGGTTTGCAACAACTTTAGAGTTGTCACAACCACCAGCTCAGCCATCTCAACACACTACATTTCCCATCATCCCCTCTGGCTACCACCTGTGTGCACTCAACAGTCACCACACCTGCCTGCCATCAGCCTCATTAATCCCTCGTCATAAGCCAGCACCACACACACTGTTGTCTGGTCTCAAGGTTACACGCTATCCATAGCTTCTCTTACTTGCCTGCTGGATCCTGTTACTCCTGGTTTCTTTCCTGTTGGATTTGCTTGAATGGACTTCTGAGTTTTGTGTGGATTTACCTGCAAGTAGTGATGGGAAACCAAGGCTTTCTGAACCATTTGAGGCTTTCATCAAATTGTGCCGAAAAACGGTTCATTACTCGAAGCTTTTTAACACCGTGCGCATTAGCGACATCTGGTGGTCAGACTCAGTTTCTGCAGCCTATCTAACGAAACATCGTGGAGCAGAGGATGGTTTGAAAGTTTTTAATCTGTGTCAACTCGTGTCATGTGTAGTCCGGTCAATGGATTCACATATTGATCAATAATAATATAAAATACACAAGTGTGTGATTTATAATTAACATGAGTAGTAGCAAATATATTTTGGATGAGCTGTTCGGGGTCTCTGAGACCCCAGCTAGAACATGATAAAATGCAATAGAGGTGTGACGTGCATTCAGTTTCTGTCTGGTGTTGAGGTTATTCTAAACCAGGGGTGTCCAACCCTGCTCCTGAAGAGCTACCATCCTACAGATTTCAGCTCTAACCCCAATCAAACACACCTGAACCAGCTAATCAAGGTGTTCAGGGTTGCTTGATAATTACAGACAGGTGTGCTGGAGCAGGGTTGGAACTAAAGTCTGCAGGACATTAGCTCTCCAGGGGCAGGGTTGGACACCCCTGTTCTAAACTATTCTACTGAATCCCAAGTAAGTGAAGTAAGTGTACACACAACCAAGTCGATGTAAAGTCAAACACAAGAGTCATGCGAAGCGCTGATTTTCTTTTCAAACCAGCTGTCCCGACCTTCCAATACTGCATGACGTTCAAAGCTTCAAACATCATCAATCACGTGGTGTTGTCATTTCGATGCAAGCATCGGCACAGTGTGTAATACAATAGTGCTTTGAAAACTGCATCGGAGCCTCGGTATCAATCGTCCCATCACTACCTGCAAGAAAGAGATAAGGATTTGATATCTTCAGTTAAGTTAACTGTTGTGTTTTTGTGTTCACGGAAACATGGCTCAACAACAGCGTTCCGGACTGCGCTATTCATCTCGATCAGCTGACATGCTATCGAGCGGACAGAGCTCGCGTCGAGGGAGGTAAGACCCGCGGCGGAGGGCTTTGTGTTTACATCAATGACGTGTGGTGCCGCGATGCTGTTGTGGTCTGCAAACACTGCTCACCCCTGGTGGAGTTTATGATTATTAAGTGCCGGCCGTTCTATCTACCGAGGGAATATACAGCCATACTGCTCGTTGCTGTATACATCCCTC